AAAAAGAACAAGTAAGTTGATCTTGGAGGCATGGATGGTGAAGCTTCTTCTTATATTCTTAGGGAGTATTGTCCTTGGAAAAAGACATCATACTGGAAAAGGTGGCAGGTCAGCAAGATAAAGAGAAATACCCTTAACTAGATGGATTGACACAGTGACTGTAACAATGTTGATCATGTCTGAGAGAGTGAGGATGGCTCAAGATAGAGCAGGCTTCAGATCTGCTCTTGACAGGGTCAGTAAGAGCTGTAGTTAACTCAGAAACACTAACAACAACAAAAAACAACGACCACCACAAAAATGAGTATACTATTGGTCTGTCATGGAGAGGGTGAAATCAAGTTGCTCCTTGAAGGCAAGGATTTTGAAGCTCTGTCTGACATACATTGGATATGTTGCCAAGAGGGACCAGTCCTTGGAGAAGGACTTCATGCTTCAAAGGGTGGAGGGTCAGCACAGGAGAGGAAGACCATGGATGAGATGGATTGACACAGTAACTGGGGTAATTACTTAGGTGTGTCAGGGACAATGAGATTGGCTCAGGAGAGGGTAGTGTTCAGAGCTATTGTACATAGGGTCACTGTGAGTCACAGTTGACTGGATGGCACGCAACAACAACTCTCAGAATGATCTAGAGAGGTGAGACTAAGGTAGAGAGGAAAGGAAAGCTATGATCAACATTAGTGCAGCCAAAAAGAAGAAAATGAAGCTGATTAGAGGCACGAGGAACATCCCTGGGGAGGGAACTCACACTGGATGAGATTCATGGGTCAGCCCCACCATAAGGGTTTCCTGAACAGCTACTTCCAGTGTCTGCTCCAGACAGACCTGCATTTCCCCTGTCTGCAGGAAGGTTGACATCTAATCTATGGTCCCAGGAATTAGGTTTGTGTGTTCTATTTTTGTTTTTAATTTTTAGATAAACTTTACTTTGGGATAAATTTAGATTTACAGAAAAGTAGTTACAATGATAAGTTGTACAGAGAGTTCCTATATAAAGCCCTCATCCATTTTTAGATTCTCTTGACATTAACATCTTAAATGACCAAGGTACATTTATTAAAACTAAGATGCTGACACTGTTACTGAACTCCAGACTTTTCAGATTTCATAGTATTTTTGTGTGTGTGAATATTTATTTTTGGTCCAGAATCCTGTCCAGGGTACCACACTGAATTTAGTTGGCATGTCGCCCTAACTCTCCTTTCATCTGTGGTAATTTCTTAATATTTCTTTAGTTTTCATGACCGTGACAGTTAAGAAGTGTTTTAAAGTTGAAATGTTGTCTTGTTAACCTCTGGTATGCTGGTAGCTTTGTGGCAAGAAGCTGCGCTGCAATCCTGAAGGCACATGGTTCAAATCCACCAGCTACTCCATCAGAGAAGGATGGGAAGTTTCCTTCCATTCAGCTAACTGCCTCTGAAATCCTGCTGCAGAGTCAGCAATGGGATGTTTTCGACTCAACAGTACATGATAACAACAACTACTACTTAACTTTTGCCGTAGAATTTCTTAAGTCTTAACTTTGTTTTAGTTATAATGATTGGATTTAATTCTAGGAATTCCTGGAATCATGAAGAATAGTAAATTGTAAATATTTGTCTCATTTTTCTCCTGTCTGTATTTTTAAAAGACACCTGCTCTTGGATGTCTGATCCTGTCCATTAAAGTGTGGTTGTAAACTGTTGTCTGTATATTGTGAAAGGCCTTTTCCTCCTCTATCTCCCTTCCTGGTTAATTCTGTACAGGAACTATTAAAAATTTCAAATGAATACTGACTGATCATGAAAATCTAATGAATTTGCTTGATTTTGAGATTGTAGTTCTTAGGTGCTGTTGAGTTGACTACAGCTCATAGCATTCCTGTGAACAGCAGATTGGAACCTGGACCTCTCCTGCACTGTCCTGATGGTCTCAGACATGCTCGGGCCTATTGTTATGTTCATTGTGTCAGTCCATCTTGTTGAGGGTCTTCCTTTCTTTCTCTGACCTTCCACCTTTCCCAGCATGATACCTTTTCCCAAAAACTGGCCATTCCTGACAACAAAGTACATGAGATGGAGTTCTACCACCCTTGCTTCTAAGGAGTACCCTAGTTGCACTTCTCCCAAGCCAGGTTTGTCTGTTCTTTGGGCAGCTCATCAGATATTCAGTATTCCCTAAAATAGCTGTTACAGTTTGGCAACTTGAGGTGCTCATTACCAATAACAGAGTTAATTTGCCTTCACTAAAACAAAACAACAGAATATCTACTCCTTACTTACATTAATTGACAGTGTATCAGGGTGAACATTTTTGGGAATAATTTACCTAAACTTCATTTTATTATTAAAGTTCTGTGCTAAGTCTTAACAAATAATGCTAAACTCCCAAAGAAATTGTCAAATATCTTTACAATATATATTTTTACCTAGAAGATATAATTTTACATTATAATGATTCAAGATGTCTGGCTTTGTACTTACTAATACACTAAGATGTTTATGATATACATTAAGTGAAAAAATAAAATTTCAAAACAAGATATATAATAATAGATACCATTTTTATAGAAAATAAAAGGTGAAAAATGCATGTGTTTATACACAGAAAGACATTTGAAGGAATATACTTCATAGTGTTAATAGTAGTTCTAGGTGAGTAATTTATGAGTAATATTTTATTCCTTCTTAATACTACATGAAATTTGTAGGATAAATAATTATATTTCTTTTGTAATAAAAATAAAAGTCCCCTTTTACTAAGAAATATGTCTTATAGCACTTCAAATTTTTCTTAAAAATTGGCAGTTGCAAGTTCTAGATTTTTTTCCTTAGTTAATTGTTTGCAAGTTACATAGAAGTGGAAAGGTTTTTTTTAGTTAAAAGAAATGATATTTAAAAATCAAGCTCTTGTCAGAAAGGGAAGATGAATATGGGCGAGCAAACTTCTGCTTCACCCCCCCCCCCCACTGAATGCAGCAGGAGAAATCAGAACTGTGAGGTTCCTGAAGGACTGACTTCAGATACAGTGACTGAGCCCCAGAAATCAGAGGCGACTACTCTCCAATGTCTGTTCCCAAAGCTGAGCACTCCCAGAGTGAACTGTTCAAGGCTGTTCATGGCCACCCCCTGGAGAATCAGGGATGAGAGGAGTGAGCACATTCATGATTGCAAATCCTCAATTGAGAAAGAGAAGCCAGGGGCAGATAAGGTGAGGACACACCTGGTGATGATGTCAGTTCCTCTGAACTAGATGAAGACTATGTAATAAAGATGGAAAAATAAGTGTCACATGTAGAGAAAAAAGGAAAAAAAAACACCACTCGACTAAAGAAAGAGGGAGATGAGCAATTTAAGAAAGGAGACTAGAGAAGACAGAAGATGTGTTTGAGCCCTTCATGTGTACCCAGGCTGCTTCCGAAAGGACAGGCCCTTTCTCTTTTCAGATACAGCGGCAGCAAGGATGGCTGCTGTTGGCAGCAGAGCAATACTGTTAAACCCCAGCTCTCAGAGGGTAACACTGAGGAGGGTGGAGCTGTATGAGAACACAGACAAGTTGGACAAAGCCTTGGAAGAGAATCTATATTATCAGAAGTTCCATCAGTGCATTGAGCAAGAGAAGCTTCTATGAGATTGCCTAAGCAAATTGCAGAATGTAATGAAAGGCGAAAGGAAGAAATGTTAAGTCAACTAAATAGACCTTGGGAGCTTTGCTCACCAGCCTTTTGAACTCTCTACAGAAGATTTTCAGATCAAACAGTGTTCCTATGCTGGCCTCTTCTCCATCTATTTTGTCCAATATGAAAATAATAACATAATAATAAAAAATAATAACAGATAATAGAAGATAACAAGAGCTTTAACGTCCTTGGCAATGATGTGCTGCTTATTGTTAGCACAGGGAAAGGCCCTGCCAATGTTTAATTCTTGAAAAGCATCTGCCTGTAAGAGAGGCTATCCAGTGAGCCAGTGTTCCCTTCTTCACTTTATTTATATCAGAGTGAAATGTTTGTAAAAGGTAGACTGGAACTGCTTTGATTTCCATTTAAAGCAGTGTCTGTGCAGCTATTATCGTGCCTGCTTCTGGCCTTGTGTTCTTTGTTTTATCCAGGAGGAAGCTGAGGGTCAGTAAGACTGACCCCCCCCCCCCAAAGACTCACCCAAACCCACCAGGTCACAAGTTCAAGCCCTGTTACTCTCTCCTGAGTCAAGCACACTTGCTGTTGGGGAGACTGCCTACATATGATGGATGGGTTCCTTATCCGTTCTCCCTAAATACACCTCACATGCTGCCGTGCCTGGCTGAGCGGTCTCTGATATTTTTTGGTTTCCTGTTGTGGTCATAAAACTTTCTGTGATTGACTACTACTACTACTGCTACTGCTACTACTACTAATTTAATAAAAAATCTTACAGAATAATAACCACATATCTCCCATGAAAGTCAAGCTGTGATATGTTAGTGTGTATGGTATATTGTGGTCGTAGTATATTTGAGTGTTTATGTTGCTGGAAGACACTTATTGATGAAATGTAATTCAGTATTTACCTTTATGTATGAGGAAACTGAGACTAAGGACAATATGCTTTGCATAATGTCACACAACTGGGTGGTGGCAGAGCCAAGATGAGCTCATTCATTGTGCCTGCCTTCTTAGGTGATGTGATTTTAGCTGAATACCTTTTGGGTTTTGATCTGTTGTGGTTTCTGTTGTTCCTGGTCAGTTGTTCGTAAGGTCTTTATGAGTTGTAATCCACTCAGTGGCCCCCAGTAAGTAGCGAATCATATTATAAATGTTCCTTCCTCCTTTTCCTTTGCTCTTTAATTGAAGAAAGCCATAGCCTATTTTTGTAGCCCACTACAAAAGAGGTGATTTATTCATAACCTAGAATGATTCATTGCTATATTTGTAGGTCCCTGTAGAGAGTTAAAGTTTTGTTTCTTCGTTTTCTGTGCAGGGCAGTTCACTAACATTGCTCTGACTTCTCAGTGCTTTTAACTCTCCTTCTCTTTAACAGCTGGCCAAATTCCGCAGCCTCCTGTGTACAGCTGAAGGTGAGGCGGCTGCATTTCTGTTGAGCAATCACCGTCCGCCACAGCCTCTGAAGGGCCGCAAAGTGAGAGCCTCCTTCCACTGAAGAGTGTCAGCAGTGGCTGTGCCTGACCACGACTGTGGAGAGACAGGAACGAAACAAAGCCCAGCACAGCTTCTCTGCTAGCAGGTTCTCCCTTGAGTCCTCTGTCATGGGGTAACATTTTGGTCTCAGCACCATGAAGAAAACTACATCTCTTTAGCCTGACTTTCTTTGTTCAAGAAGTAAAAATGGTGCCATTTATACTGAAACCGATAAAAGACTTGTCTTTCCATCTGTGTGGAAAACATGGTGTGCAGTACAAACCTCAGAATGTATTAGCAAATTTATCTTGTCAGTGAAGTTTGGTTAAAAACTTCATTTCTGGAATTTGAGATTCTGATACCTTTTTCTAAGCAAACTGACTCTGCTTAATATTTTTATACTATTCTGATTCATAAGAAAGTAGACAGTATTTCTTTTTAAAGTACATTTTTGTTGTAGTTATTATGTTGCTGATTATAATTGCATGGTACCTTTAATAAAGAGGGAGAAAAAATGTGAGGGTTTTTAGAGGGTGAAACAGTTACTTAATGGCCTACACTATAATTCAAAAATATATAGTGTGTCAGTGTATGGCAAACTATTGCTCAGGATATAAATGATTATTTATACTGTAATGAATTATGCTTTATACCATATTCATGTCATAATATTAAATGTAAACTGGCTAATAATATACAAGATACAATGTTTAGAAATTTATGGACTTAACAATATTTGGGAGCTAAAAGATTACATAGTAATGAAACAAGGAAAACTCCAGGGTATGTTGATGGAGCGTCCTGCCTTTGGTGGGAGAGGTTGAATATGAATCCCTGAATATGAGCCTCTTGGAAGAAAAAAAAATATTTAAGTCTCCTATATGTCAATATATATATATATTATATTTCTATAAATATATATTTAGGTATAGGTAGTTATACACAAATTGAGTCTATAAACCTTTCAACCTATCATCTTGTCAAAGCATAATTCATTTGCTTGGTAATTTTGTAAAATGACTCTTGATAGTTATTTTAGTCTCTTGTCTCATATATTTTGATTTGGTTTTATTTGGTTAAGGATAAGAGGAAGGAACTATTTTTGCTCTTTTTCGTTTAAAAAAAACGGAGTGGTAGTAAGCATAAATTTCATCTGCCGCTTCCATGTAAGACCTAAAGAGACGTTAGTTTACTACTATAGTCTTTTAATAGACGTTTATCTGAGTTTCTTTGAATTTGTTTCTTTGTTTCAGACTCTTCCTCTGGATGTAGATTTTAGTAATTCAAATTATTCTATGATAGTTTACTTGACAGAATAACTGAGTATCATTAAATTGTAAGAATGATGTATGCTGGCATAGAATGTGAACTTCTGGAAAATAAAACTGACAGTGTGGTCACTTTTGCTTGACCCTCACCATAGCTTGCATGAAGCCTTGAAAGAGAGTGACTGAAAACATATTTAATGAACAGAAACTGTGTTTAAATAGAATTTATGTTTATTTTATCTCTTTGACAATTTTCCCTCTGTTGAGATCAAATGCACTAAAAGAATATAAAAAGTGGTTTATAAATAAGTTTATTTTATTTCTGATACTTTCCCTTCTATTGAGATGAAATGCACTAAAAGAATATAAAAAATAAATTCTAAATAAGTTTATTTTTTCTCTGACAGTTTTCTCTCTGCTTGAGATCAAATGCACTGTAAGAATATAAAAAGATGAAACTCCAAGTTTTTATCTTTTGAAAAGTAGTTCTATTGAGATGAACACTTTATTAAATCTAATTTGTATGAACTGACGCCCTAATGGTTTTAAAAATACTAATATTGAATGAAATAATTTTTCTTGTGCTAGTGGAGGAAAGAGCCCTGTCGTCTCAGAATGTAAGTTGTTGTACGAGGAGGGGTGTGTGGGATGGATATTTTAATGATCGTCTATGTGAGTTGCCTTTGTGTAATCTATGGTTTTTGCTGCAGTACTGGATTTGTTCTGTGCTACAAATTTCTTGTTAGTGGACTAAAAAAGTCTATATAGACCTGTTTTCCTTGACAATTACCTGTTAATTTATATCTTTTAAAGGCAAAGAGTCTATAAGTGTGTGTTAAAATTGTTCTGTCACCTCTCTTTAAAAAAGATGAACGAACTGGGAAGGAGGGTAGAGAAAACAGTGCAACAGTGAATGAATGAGAACCCAAAATCTCTGTAAATGTTCATTAAAACTAATAAAATTTAATAATTATTTTAAAAATATAAAGAATTGTAAATACTCATGTTGTCCTGTTTTGTTTCCCACAATGTATATTAGATTTATGTTCTTTAAATGCCTTATATTTTAATTTAAGATGGATTCAAACACAGTAAAGAAAAATTCTAGCCAATAACAGGTCCTTGTATAAGCAACACACAGAGTGAGATGACATATTTATAAAATCCCATACTCACAGAAAAATTTCAACACACATTTTTTTTCTTTAAATAAATACTTAAAATAAAAATATCATTTCCAAATATTTAAACAAATGTTTAAGGAACATTTCCCCCCGTAATTGTTTGACAGAAAGTTGCCAACTTGATTTCTCTTGTCATTTCACAAACTTCAGTGTCTATTTCCTATAAGGTAGGACATCCTCCTAAACCATAATACCACTTAAATACCCATGAGATTAATGTTGATTTACTGTTACCATCTAATCCAGTAAAGAGTAACTTGTTATTTTCTTCAGTCCTTACCCTTCTTTGTTTCAAATGAATTTGTTTTTAGTACCCATTTCTCTGGGTGGAGAGAGCATTTAGTTTATCTAAGCTGTGCCAGTAGAGTGAGAATTGGATAAACTCTGCATGAGTTTGTGTCTTAATGGTACCAGCTGAAGCATAACTCAGCATTGCCTTATGGAAAGTATGACTTAGGTTCAAATGTTACAGGAAAGATTTTTATTCCCACAGGGATGTCTGGGGCCAACAACCTGGACAGACACAAACATTTGTGATTGATTAGCATTGGAGGAAGTTGGAAATTCAGGGAACCTCTGAGGACTTCAAAAGCAAACGCTTAGAAATGTTTTATGACTTAGTTAAATGATACTGGCTTTTTAAAAACACATCATAGTGTCAATCAGATTCTTCCAGAAGAATAGAAACCACCGTGAATGTTTTAAGTGGAAGATATTTAAATGCTGGGAACTGAATACCTGGGTGAAGGAAGATGCTGTAAAACCAAACAATGCAGTTGAGACAACTAAGAGATTGACAAGAGCAGAAAGTTGCCAGCATTCTTAGGCTAAATAACAGAAGGAGGCAATGCTATTGGAGCCAGAGGCCCCAGTCACTGATATTGGAATGAAAATAGGGCTACACTGAAGAAATGATTTTCATAGAGACATAACCACTTCCTGAGATCCTGCATGAATCAGAGAGAGAGGAATATGTATTCTCTGTTCTTCCTTCATGTCACCCTCCAGACTCACATCTCTACTCGTATCCATTGACGGAATGTAGCCAGAAGTTCAAACAAGATGGAAATATGAGAGGTTATGTCTTCTGTGATTCAGAGCAGAGTAGGAGTGAATGGGGCAGAGACCAGAAAAGGCTCTGAGGGCCAGTGGACCCTGAGACCAAGATGGACCCAAGATGAGTCAAATCTTCAAGGATTGAGAACTCCGTCATGCAGCTCATACAAATAACGATAAGAGAGGAGCCTAACATCAGTGATTCCAGAGATGGAAGACCATTACCGTATTTCTCCTAACACTGTAAGTGTGATATCACCGAACCTTAGTTGGGCATCTTAGAATCGTGAAATGTGCTATTTACTATGGATTCAAAGATGATTTGTGTATTACATTTCATATTCTTACACAGTTAAAAATCTTCCAGGATAGTCTTGCAACAAACTGCAATCAATAGAAAATGTTACATAGTTTCTTCTGAGTTCTCTGGAAATATAGAGAGGATGGAGACATTAATTCTGGAGAATTTGACAAAGAAATGAAAGTTTCTAACTGGCATATTTAGAAATGTGGTTATCTATGTAGTTTTGAATCTGGTGCCTTGGTGATAGAGACATTTGTCAGTTAGGAATTCTTGGAAAAGTATGGGAACCGCAACTCTATCTCAAGCAAATAAGTTTATTGATTCACTTAATTGAAAATCCAGGCGTTGAGCTTGTTTTTATCATTACCAAAGCCAGTGGCTCAATTCAGACCTTGGTTAACCTCCTTATCTGTCTCTGGCCCCATTGCCAGAACATTAGCTTCTGCCAATATGTAGCCAATTAGGGGGAAACTCCCAATTTGAATATGTATTAGCCTAGATTGGGTCACATCTCATCCTTAATTCAGTTACAGACAAAAGAAGAGGCTGATGATGTGATTTAGGAGGCACAGTTGCATCTTGAAGGAGACAGAGTCTGCCTCTTTTTTTTTTTAAGTAGTGATTTTTATTTATTCATTCTTGCACATTTTAGAGTCAGTCTCTTTAAAAACTGTATGGACCAAGAGTGGAAGAGGGGTGCTGCAGTAAAAGAAAATGGGGGAATCACATGTAGAAGGGAGAAATAAGTTTGGGTAGCAAACCCCAGCAAATTTCCACTCAGGAGTGGAATAGTAGCTGAAGATACATCTATACTTGTGTACTGTCGAGTCAGAACTGACTCATGGCTGACCCTCCCGTGGGTTTTCAAAGGTGAGGAGATTGCCCATCTCTCTCCCGTGGAGCAATTGGTGGATTCAAACTCTGTGTCTTTGTGTGCAGTGCAGTTTCTTACCACTAGGCAACGAGAGTTCTCTTGAAGATATGACTACAAAGACCAAAATTCCTAAGATCAGTAGCTATGCAGTGAATAAGGACGACAGAAGAATTGATGCCTTTCTGTTGTGGTGTTGGAGAAGAGCACTGAATATCCCACAGACTGCCAAGAGAACCATCAGATGTGTCTTAGGAAAAGTGTAATTAGCATGCTTCTTGGAGGCAAGGTCTGCCAAACTTCATCTCACATACTTTAGTCATATTGTTAGGAGGAAGGGACACCAGTCAGTGAAGGAGAAGACCCTCAGTGAGATAGATTGACACAGTGACTGCAGCAATGGGCTC